CTAACATTGGTTTACAGCCACAAGAGAAAATGCACTACCTGTCAGTAGAATAGCTGCAATATCCACTGTCAGTTGCTGACGTATGGATGCTATAGGTAGGTATACTCCTATCCAAGAAATATAAACTAGGGGACTGGTAGAGGGACAGGGGGATACAATTATGTCCATGAATAGCTTGAAACAACTTGCACATGTTCAAGCTTCTGGTTAGAGAAGACTTCACACCACCCCACCATTTTTTCCTAAGCATCTCAAAATATTGAAAGCCAGCTATTTACTATCTAGCAAAATACTTTAAACAAGTAACAAAAAGCAATCTTTTTGAAAATTCAGTTATATTTTTTCTCAATAAGATGCATTTAAAATTAGATTTAAAATTACCTTTTTCCCCCCCATGCATTATAGATTATGCCAGTACAGGTTTCCGTCGCCAACCATGGCTTTGTGTATCCACGCTTCAGAGAAGGGGGAGGAGGGTACAGTTGGAAAATAACCCCCATGGCTCCCTCATACCTCTCACTCCCCACAGCCACCACAGTCTTGCTGGTACCCAGGGGGAAAAAAATTGGATTTTTTAAAATTTAAAATCAGATTTTTTTTTTTTTTAAATCATCAATAAAATACTAAATTTCTCGTTTACAAAATAACAGTTACAATTGAATATCATCACAAACGTACTAAACCTACACTTACAGTCTCATAAAAATGAATTAATGGCTCTGTCACACTCGCACACATTGAGTTACCTACCAGTCAAACATGAGCATTCATTTCAGTTTTTCATCTCATGAAAATGGCTCTAGTCTGTCTGTCCAGCCTAACTACCAGCTCTTGCTTCTTGAAAGGTCTGGGCTTTCAGTTTCTGTTTCTCAGCAGACCAAAGTCACACATGCAAAGACCCAGGCTGGGTAGGATTGTTGTTGTTCTGTGCTTGTGTGGTGGTGGAGCTGGGCCAAGCAAGGCAGAGGAGTTAGTTAAGACACTGTCTTAAAGACAGAGAGACAATACAGGAAAAGACAGAGGCAGAGTAGAAAGGAACGGTGGAGCGGACTGGAAAGAACAAGGGAAGACATTGTTCAGTAGTACACATGCACCTTCCTATATTCCTCCACAGTTTTGCCACAGAGAAGCTGTCATGGCTTCTGGGTGCAAGAGAGACTCTATTTGGGAATATTTTGAAGAACTTCCTTCCCTGGGTAAAAAAGGAAAACATGTCAAGTGTAAGCAGTGCAAGGAGATGCAGGCCCCAGTTGCAAGAATTAAACATTATAATGAAAACTGCTTATTGGGAGAACATGATGTGGATATGTCTGAAGAACAATGTGGATCAACTGGTTAGTAAATTAAATAATTCACTTTGCAATGCATCATTCTTCAAGACTCTTTCTGTGCCTTTAAGTATAAGTGTGATTTAACAAGTAAATTCCCAAGCTGTTTGCCACGTTGGATGTTGCTAGAAAAAAAGGTTTAGCTTAGCTAATCCTCATGGCTTGTTTAATTAGTTAATTAGGTTTAGAATCTATCACCCAAGTTTACGGTACAGAAAACTGCAGTTAAAGAAATCTAGAGTTGCCAGTTGCCGCTGGGTGTCATTTTCTTATTTTATGACATAACACATGCCCCTTATTTTGGAACATCATGGCCCCAGACCATAATGGTGATGCTGTAAGTCTATTCCCTATTTTACTTCAGCATAACTCAGCTTTTCCAAGGGAACCCCATCCTATACTTGTTTTCTCAAAAAACAGAAGTGCCAGTGAGTTCAATGGGGCTTACTCCAAAATTAGGTGCACTCTAAGTGCAGTCAGTCTTAGCT